TATTAAGTGAAACAAGTCAGGCACAGAAAGAGAAATACCACATGTTCTCACTTATTGGTGGGAGCTAAAAATAAATAAATAAATTCACACACACACACAAAAAAAACGGGGGGAAGAAGATATAACAACTACAACTCCTTGAAGTTGATACGACAAGCAAACAGAAAGGACATTGTTGGGTGGGAGGGAGGAGAGGGAGGGGGGTTTCAGTAATGGGCCACAATAATCAACCACATTGTATATCGACAAAATAAAAATTTAAAAAAACAAAAAGGAAGAAAAAAAAAAAGGAGTGAAATTCTGGTGCATGATACAACATGAATAGAACTTGAAAACATTATGCTAAATAAAATAAACCAGACACAAAAGGAGAAATATTGTATGATTGCATTTATGTAAGATACCTAGAATAGGCAATTCATAGATAGAAAGTAGAATATAGCTCAGCAGGGGCTGGGAGGGGGAGAGAATAGGGAGTTACTGTTTAAGGGGTATAGAGTTTCTTCTGGAGATATAACAACCACAATTTTTTTTGAAGTTCTTACAACAAGAAAATGGAGGGGACACACTTGGGTGGGAGGGGGGAGAGGGAGGAGGGAGGGAGGTTTCGGTGATGGGACACAATAATCAACTACATTGTATATTGACAAAAAAAAAAAAAGTTTCTTCTGGGATGATGAAAACATTCTGGAAATGGGTAGTGGCAATGGTTGTACGACATTGTGAATATACTTACTGCCATTGAATTGTACATTTAAAAATGGTAAAAATGGTAATTTTATGTGTATTTTACCACAATAAAAAGTTCTAATAAAAAAAAAAAGAGATTAGATCTGAGCATTTTAGAATTTCTTGAAACCTCATTATTCGTTGTGATTAGTGTAATCATTGGATCTCTGGAGTTAAGATAATGAACAAAAACCTTTGTCCTTCATTCGAGATCAGGCACAGCCAGGACAAGATTTATTCATGGTGTAGGCACATTATTTTAAAGTATTTTGAATCTTCTTTCTGGATATTTTGTTTACCCTCTTGTGTTTGAAAAAGGCATCATTAACTTATTAATATTGCCTACTCCACCTGAAGGACTCATTGTCTAAATTTTGTTTCCTGTAATTTATTATTTGGCTTGATGTTCAAAGATAAGAAACAGGTAAATATTATATTATCTAAAGAATTCATCATATTCTATTGTTGACATTGAAGTTTATCATTTTTCATTGCAATTCCTGTCTTTATTACCTATATATGTTTTGTCTGCAGTCCAGATAGTTGAGCATTTTTTGGTTTCATTTATTTTTCTCTTAGTCACTGTATTAGTGTATTCTCCAGAGAGACAGAACCAGTAGGAAATATTTTATATGTTATAAATATGTGAGAGGGGATTTATTAGGGGAATTAGCTCATGTGATAGTGAATAGAAGTCCCATAATAGGTCATCTGCAAACTGGATGCCAGTAGCATGGCTCAGTCTAAGTCTGAAGGCCTCAAAACCAGGGAAGCCGGTGGTGTCCTGAGTGGAAGTCCTGGATGCCAGTGGAGTGTCTCAGTCCAAGTCCAAAGGCCTCAAAACCAGGGCAGCAGCATGGACAAGAGATAGAAGGGTGTATCCCAGCTCCAGTGGGTAGAGAGAGAGATATGCCTTTTTTCTCTGTTTTTTTTCCTCTCTGGGACCCCAGTGGATTGGATGGTTCCCACCCATATTGAGGGCAGATCTTTCCTACCCAGTCCACTCAGTGTCATGCTAATCTCCTCTGGAAACACCCTCAAAGATAAACCTGGTAAAGCCTACAAAGTTTGCGTTACCAGGTTTCTCGGCATTCCTTAATGTAATCAAATTGCCACCTAGAATTACCTTCAGAGTCACAGTTATAAACTTTCCTCTGTTACTTTTACACTGAACTAGAGAGGATGGTCATTGCTTTTTTTCTCTTCACTTCTGTTTCTTTGGTAAATTTATTGTGAAGTCACCATCTCCTCATGGAGTGTGTCTGATTTCTTTTTGCAGAGAGTTGAAGAGGAAGCATTGGTCAAGAATAGCAGTGCTTGCAAAGATTACCTCATTGAAGCTATGAAGTATCATTTGCTGCCAACAGAGCAGCGTATATTAATGAAAAGTGTCCGGACCCGACTGAGGACACCCATGAACCTTCCCAAAGTAGGATCTATTGTTCATACTTGTTATTATCTCATTTGAAAGGCGCATAGTAAAGCTGTCAATATTTTTGCTCATTTGAATTTTCATACTTTATTACTTTAGTTTCTCTTTAATATATTTTATATATTTTGATATTTTCTTTTAAATATGCCTAAGAATGCACTGTAGTGTATATTATTCAACCTCTGTATTGATTTTATATCTTAAGGGTGGGGATGGTGTAGTTTATTCTTTATAAACTGCTTGATGTCACTCTTCTTGGACAGAAGACAACTGGTTTTTGTCCCTTATGACTTTTTTTAGCTCTAGTTATGGTAGAAAGCTCTAGTTGTAGTCAAAAGAGGAAAATCAGACTAGGTAGAAAGATTTCTCTGTAAGCTAGGTGTTTATATAATAACTGAAAACCCAGTAGTTTCACAGAATTACATGTTAGAACTAAGGATGATAAAATAGCTTGTTTAATTCATCTCCTTCCTGTTCCCTGTTGCATACTATTGATGGTTCCCCACACATCGTATGTAACCATTTCAGCATAGATTTCCCATGTCTTTTCATATCTCCAGTGTTCGTATTTTCCTGTGTGAAAGTTCACATTAATCTTTTTAGTTGTGGCCATTTGTGTTTTACTGATTTAATTTTCCTTACAAAATACCCTTCATTTCTTTCTCTCTGTTTGCAATTCCTCTGCTCTCTTTACATCTTTAAAGTACTAGAAGACCAACATTTTAAGCACCGTTTCGTGTATGGTCTAATCAGAATGATCCAAAATATAATGCTATTACTTATGAATTTATTTTTAACTCTCCTGTGTGTTTGGGGCAATGCTGGATTAAGAAATAGAATTAATCTGTTATCGCTTTCTTATATCATCTTCAGTTATTACTCTGAGCTTTCCATTGAATTATGTCTTTTAAATTAAACTCTCCTGTGTGTTTGGGGCAATGCTGGATTAAGAAATAGAATTAATCTGTTATTGCTTTCTTATATCATCTTCAGTTATTACTCTGAGCTTTCCATTGAATTATGTCTTTTAAATTCTTTCACTTTCATGCTTTTATATAATGCTTTTGTAAGTTTTATTTTTGGAGTCTACATTTTTAATTGCTTCAAATCTGTGTTGGTATTGTTTTTCTGTTTTGCCCAGTGTTAACAACAGTTCTCAATTTAGAACTAACTGCAGATTTTGCCAGTATGCTATTTGCTTGTTTTTCTAGATCATCAGTAAATATTTTATTTAGAATGGACCTCAACACTCTCCCTGGTGACACCTCATAAGAAGTACCCACCCCCTGACACAGTCCATTTGTTGAAAGTTTCAGTTCATATGGTTATGTTTACCATCTAAGCCAAAAATGATTAATTAGACATATAATATATCGGATGAAATTGAGGATCAAACAGATTCAAACTTGGCAGGATTCTTTTTCTAACATCCCTCTGCTTGTTACTCATTTTATTGTCCCCTAGAAGTTTGAATGCTTTTCTCAAAATATTCTAAATTTTTACTGAGAATTATTATCACTTAACAAAAGGTATTTACAAGGCATTCACTTCCTGCCCTGTTTTGAAAATTGGTATTTGCCTTTTTTAAATTTTCTGATCTCTCCTCAGTTCTCCAAGATTTTTCAAAAATAATTGTAAGTGGCTCAGTAAGTACATTAGCTAGTTCCCTTAACACCTTAATATGCATGCCATCTGGGTCTGCTGACTTTATACGTGTTCACATTTCCCAAGTACCCTTTTACCTGCTTTTATAAGTAACCATCTTTATAAGTCTTCATTACTTCATATTTGTCCATATTATTTGGTGTTAGTTATTGTTCTTACAAAAAAATTGATTTGTAAAAAGTGTCTAGAGTCTTTCCTGTAAACTTAAAGTTACATTTCATTTATGGTAGTCTTTCCAACTTCTAAATAGTTTGTTTTATCTTTAATATTTTTTAAACAATTCATATTTGTAAAAAAAAAAATCTTTTCTTGTCTATTCCCTCTTCTAACATCTTTAACTTTGCTATCCTTTAGCTTTTGCTATCTTTATCTAGAAACCTTTAGGATGAAAATGAATTCACTTCTAATTCTGGAATAAAGATGTCACTTTTGAAAACTTTCTAAAGAGTTCTTGGTAAAAGCCTATCAAGTACTTTATTTTCTCTTTTATAGAGTTATGGTCATCTGTTTGGTTCACAGGGTTTCTGGGCTTCTCTGGTTGTAGCTTCCGAGTGGACCTTTCAACTGTTATACTTTGGGATTTCACAGTTTTTTAACTTTTATTTTGTGGTGGGTGTACAGATCTTTTTTCTGTCTTGCCAGGGTGACGAGGAAGGAGGGGCAGCAGGCCTGGCAGAGAGCACTGAGCAACAGTCTTGCTTTGACCCTGCATCTTCCACTTGCATGACCCCTTCTCAGTGTTGATTCATCCACCCATATTTTTGAAAAGACGCTTGTGTTGGAAGCTTTTTCAGCAGCACCACATGTCATTTTAGGGTGGTTATACTCAAGATCAATTCTAGGTAGGCAGATAAGAATGAAGCAAAGATTAATTTCTTTTGCTTATGTATTTCATAGTAATGATGAGTAAAATTGAACAAAATCTGGTAGTTAGTATTGAGAAAATTAATGTAAGGTTTTGATAATTTTTATACCACGACAGTGATTTAGTTCTTTTTATATTAGACTGATTTTGTGAACTCATACTAATTTGCATGAATGATTCTTTTTATTTCTCATACTTTAGTTTTACATTCTCAATACAGTCATCAATCCCCCCTTATCCAAGGGGGATAAGTTCTAAGATTCCCCAACAGATGCCTGAAAGTGCAGATAGTACTAAGTCCTATATATACTTTTTCTTCCTATATATACATACCTATAATAAAGTTTAATTTAGTAATTAGGTATAGTAGGAGACTGACAACAGTAACTAATATAACAATTATAACATTATACTGTAATAAAAGTTATGTGAATGTGGTCTCTCTTTCAGAATACTGTAATATTTTTGTAACATGATTGACTGTGGGGAACTAGTAAAAAAAAAACGAAACCACGAAAGTGGGGACTACTGTAAGCAGTAATGGAATTGTGTAAGGCATCCTTGAATTTGGACATCATAATAAAAAACTATATTATGTTTTGCTACTTTACTTTGTTAGCTCCTTTTTCTGTTTGGAATCTGTATTTTTACAAATGCAGTCATATTTCTAGGTAAATATTTTTCTATATTTGTACCTAGTATAGCTGTTGAAATTTCCTATTAGAACATTTATGAAACTTGATTTTTTCAGAAGGTAATTTTTAGCTAGTATTTAATAGATGATAAAACTAAAAAGAATGAAGTTTAATCGAGTTACATGTCAAGACGATCACTTGAATTTGCTTAGTTCCCTACCCCTTGCCCTCCTCAAATATGTTACATTTAAGTTTTCTCTACAAAAGGTCTTCTGTTTTCTTGTTCCTTTATAGCATATTAGTATAGTGTTTCCCAAATGAGATCAGGTGTTTTTTACCAATATCTGGGGTGTCAGCATTATGAGCAACTCTTTTGATAATACCAACACAGTGGTTTTTAGCAATTTTTTGATCTCATACAAACATGCCTGCTCTCACGTCCTCCTGTTGTTTCTTCTTGTCTCCTTTATTTCTGATTTCTCGAATCCCTTTTTTTTTTTTTTAATCTCTGTTGGGTAAGAACAAATATTATTTCCATTCTCTGTACTTAGTAGCACATTTCCCCTTCCATTCTCATTTCTATACACAAAAGTGAACTGTTGCATGGTAAACATAAGAATCAAAGTTTGAGAATCATGAAACCTACAAGTCGGTATTGTTTCTCAACGGAGTTTTTAAAATATTCCATTCTGAGATTTTTTTTTAATTGATCTTCATCAGATACATTATGCAAGACTCTTTCAACTATCATCTAACTTTTGGGCAGAGTTTCAAAGTTTTGAAAACAGATCCCTAAGTACAAGGTTGATCTTAACATATGTTCCCATGCTATGATTTTACAACCTTGCTACCGTCCCTTATTTTTTTCTTTTGGTGGTAGGAGGGGAGGGTATTTTGAATTTGCTTTGTTAATTCTTCTTTTTATTTATTTTGAATTTAGCACTAGTAGAATGAAAAAGTCATATGGTTGGTCTATGTTCAGTCTTCTTTTTGAGATCTTTAAAATTCCTTTGCTCTCCAGTTACTAAATAACTAAAAAGACATCTTTTTGGAAACTTGAGATTTGCTCTGATTAAGGAATTGAATTTTCTGTATTCCCATCTTTCTATAGTTATGTGTATGGGCAGGTCATTTCTCAGTTAAGGTTGCAAACCTCCCCTTTTTGTGTGTATGTGTTACTCCACATTGTGTTTGTTTTGATTTTTTGTTTCTTTTTAACATCTGTTTTTCCCATTGGGCATCACATCTTTTCCCCAGGATCCTTGCCATTCTTTACAGTTTTCCATATGAGATGTCACTGTCTTTCACTTTCTTGTTAGTTTATGGCTGTAATTTCAGTGTTGCCAGAGGGTGCCCAGGTATACTCAGTAAAAGACAAACACGTTGGTTTCTAAATTCCATCCATTTTTCAAAGCCCTAGATCAAGTTTCACCTCCTCCAGAAAGCTTTTACTAAATTATGACAGCTTTCCATTTTCTGATCAGAAGTAGCAATTAGTGTCTGTACTAATCATATAGTTTTTGATCATATATAATTGTATATTGTTCTTGAATTACTTCATGGGTCTTGTCTTAGTGAAATCTGTAAGCTCTTGGAGAGTAGAGACCATGTCTTGTATTTCTATGTAAAACAGCCAGCATAGTCCTGGATAGGTACAGATGGTAGGCACTTAGTAAATAGGTGTTGGGTTGAGTTGAGGAAATTTATAGACCTCATTCATTCTCAGCAGTAGACTATTGTGCATTTGTTCATTATGATTTCTAGCGTCTACATTATCTGTCCTGTTGGGTTGTTTCATTTGTGTGGGGCATCAAGGAAGGTCTCTACTTGAGATCTGGGAATCTGTGCTCTCTTGTTAACTACAATTCAATTACTCCTCTTTTTTTAAGAATTTTTTCCCTTCCATGTTTCTTTTAGTATCTTACTATGCTTTTCATCTCACCTACTCAGTAACATAGATTTCATTTCTATCTGCTCTCCTACATTGTGGAGATCTAATCCCTGATCACTGCAAAACCAAGATCTGGTTTTTACCAAACCCTGTGACATACTGCAGCCTTGCCAGTGCTGATTGCCTGCTGTTTTTGGCTTAAGTTGTGGAGATCTAATCCCTGATCACTGCAAAACCAAGATCTGGTTTATACCAAACCCTGTGACATACTGCAGCCTTGCCAGTGCTGATTGCCTGCTGTTTTTGGCTTAAATACTGCTTTTGCTTGAAGGATCAGAAACTTATTTTAGTTTCTGAAATCCTTATTTTTGACTAAATGTGCTAGATAATAGAATTGTAGTTCTAACTACATGTGCCTCCTTTGTTGATGTTTATTAAATGTCGGTTAGGTGGTCATCTTCCCCCAGCTCACCCTGTCATCTTCATCCTAACACTCCTCACACCAGTGTCTTTTAGGACATTTTAAATCCCTGCATATGTAATAGTCGTTTGTTCAAGTGTTACATTTCTGCCCTTCCAGTTGATGGTGGTGGTTGGGGGCCAAGCACCAAAGGCTATCCGAAGTGTGGAATGCTATGACTTTAAAGAAGAACGGTGGCACCAGGTAGCAGAATTGCCTTCCAGGAGGTGCAGGGCAGGTAAGCATGTGCATTACGGTGAGTTCCCTTCTGCTGCGTCTTTGGGAGCTTCTCTTTCAGGTTTTATTAATTAGAGGAATCTCTGTTAGAAAAGCTTTCATTAAAATAGCTTTGTGGTTAAACAATGATTCAAGGGCCTCATACAACTCAAGGCATTGATGGGGTATCTGCTGTGTCTTCATCTGTTCTTATCTTTTTTTTTTGACAGATTTATTGGTATTTTAGTAAAGACATTAATCTCAGTCATTTCTCTCTCCCATCCTGATCTTAGGTTAATATTTAATTTGGGTCAAGAAAAGAGCACGCAGGAGACAGATGTTATTTTAACAGACAGTAAAATGGACAAAAATGGATAGTTTGCCTACATTAAAGTAAATTAAATTCATGTATCTTGAAATAATTAAATCATGTAAGAACTATATACATTTCCATTGTTTTACTTGAGGCTTATTTGGAATGTAAATGCAAGTGAACAGTGTTAGGAATATACACAGGCTGCTTCTCTGAAGTTATTACCTATTAAAGGAGTTCAGCAAGTAGTTGCCACCAATAACATAGTCTGAAGTTGCCTCCAGACATTGTTGGAGTGTTCAAGGAAATCATTATATTGTATGTTTCTTTTGTCTGTGACAATGCTTTTAAAGATGCGCTAAACTGTCACTTTTTTAAAAAAAGGTTCATATACAAAAATACAAAAACAAACACCCTACAATACACAAACCTCACAAAGTATATGCAATGAAAGATTCCATAAAATATTTGAAGAAGCATTTTCTTTTTTTTTAAGCCTACATCACCTATTATTTCTAGGCAGTCTCCCATCCAACTACTAATCAGACTCGACCCTGCCTAGCTTCCAAGTTCAGCCAAGATCAGCCCCATTCAGGGTGGTCTGGCCATAGACTGAAGATGCATTTTCTTTCCTTGTATTATCAGTACCTAAAATATGCCTTTGAGAGGCCACTGGTGAATAGGTATATACTTAAAATAAACCATATAATTATACTATTAAGAAATCTTGTACTAAGTTTAATTCAAATTGGATTTCACAAGTTAGTAACTTAAATGCATAGACAAAGTTATAGAAAGTACGTCTCATTTTCCATCTTCACACAACATTTAAAAAAATTTTTTTTGGTGTTTATACCTTTTAAAACACAAAAGCAGCCAAATACTTAAGCAATATGTACATTTAAATTTTTTTTTTTTTTTTTTTTGTCTTTTTTCGTGACCGGCAACGGATCGCAACCCTCAGTGTTGCGCCCGTACCGGACCGGGACCGGCTACGGGATCGCAACCATCGGTGTTGCCCCCGCTCCTTGCTCAGCCAGTGAGTGGCCGGTCTGTATGTGGGATCCGAACCCTCGGCGGGAGCGCCACCGTGCTTCCCAAGCGGCACACTGTAGCAGTGCGCCACCGGGCGGGCCCCTACATTTAAATTTTTGATTGTGGCTTGTATTTTAAAAGAAACAGCTCCCTTATGATTTGTTTCAAGTTTTGGTGGAAATGTTTACAGGAACTAGCTAATAAACAAAAACCAAGAAAAGTACATTTAAAATACTGATTTACTTAGGTAGCAAATGGTTGTTTGACAACTAATGAAGGTAGACAAAAGACCCATTAAGGTGAAGTGGGCTATTTCAAATACTCAATAGTTTACATAAAAATCTTTTTTTTTAAGAGCTAAGCGCCTTTATCCAATGATAGCAATGCAGTATGTAGTTTATGATGACTTGAAGCAAGACAAATGCCCATAAGGAAAAAAAGCTGTATTTTAATTTTATATAAATTTTCTTTCAGCCAATAGTCCAGTAACATTTTCCTCCCAATGCAATACTTCCTCTCTCAATAAGGCTGTTCCTGGGAGCCAGACAGTTGGGTAGAGAGATCTTTATAGGCTTCATTGGGAGGTCTGCAGCTTCTTCAGCTGATCACTTCTCAGCACTGTGACTGGAACTTTCCCCAGATCAGGCAGTTCTAGCTCCTTGAAACTTTTCAAGTTTTCTTCTCCTACCTTCCTGTCCACCATTTTGCCATCTTTTCAAATCTTTCTCATTCTTTAGTGTAAGGTGCAGGAGTTAGCAATTTGCTGGGTATTAGTTACCTTTGTTGAAGTGTTGAGAGGGGAATTCTTTAGGTTGAGATCCTTAGTTCTAGAAGATTCCTGATTCAGTTATACACCACAGTTGCCTTATCCGTTTTGCAAACACTTGTTCAAATAGATCTTACTTAGCCAAAACTGCAGTCAAAAGAGGCAGTTGCAAACTCTGAGAATTCTTTGTGGGACTTAAAATGGATCCATGATTTCTATCTCCCATAGCAAAATGAGTTCTAAAGGTAATGGAACATTTCTATGATGGTAGCACTTAACAGTATGTCTTAGAGACTGTTACGTAACAACGTATCTAGAGTTACCCATTTTTTTTTTCCGTTAAATTTTTATTTTGTTAATATACAATGTATTAGATTATTATGGCCCATCACCGACACCTCCCTCCCTAGAGTTACCCATTTTTTAAGAGTGGTCTAGTATTTTATTTTGCTCTGAATGTAGTGTAATTTTACTAGTTTATAAAATTAAAATCAAAACACTAAAATCGTTTGTAATTTTATGTTGTTATAAATAGTACGACAGTGAATTTCTTATACATACATTGTTTACATATGCTAATATATTTTGGGAGGACAAAACTCTAGAACTGGAATTACTGATTCAAAGGGTATCCTGAAAGGATACACCAATTATTATTTCCTCTAACAATAAAATACGAAGGTTCCAGTTTCCGTACATTCATAATAACTTCATAACTAAATGTTTTGAGCTTTGCCAGTCTGGTGGCTGAAGAATGATAATTTGTACTTCTTAATTATGAGGAAAGTTAAACATCTTTATGTCTGATTTGTCAGTTCATGATTTTTGCCATTTTTATTATATTGTTTTGTTGATTTGACAGATATATTTATATGTTAAAGTAGCATTTTTGTATCATATGTGATGTGAATACTTATTTGTATTAATCTTTTATCTTTTGACTTGTGCAATTTTGCCATGTAAAAATTTTACCTTTTTATGTAGTTCTGTATATCAGAGTTTGGTGTCTTTGGACTTAATATTTGTTACTTGCATAGAAAAGCCGTAATCCAAAATTATCTATATATGTACCTGTCATTGTATACACACACAAAAAAATGTTTTTAAAAACTTTTATGTTAAAATTATTTAACTTACAGAAGAGTTGCAAAGATAGAAAAAGAGTTCTGGTATACTTTTTCTCTAATATTAATGTCTTCCATAACTGTAATATGATTATCAAAACTGAGAAATTAGCATTGACACATTACTTTTAACTGAAATACAGACTTCATTCAGATTTCACCAGTTTTTCCAATAATGTCCTTATTCTGTTCCATGATCTCACATTGCATTTAGTTGTCACATCTTCTTAGTCGTTTCTGATCTGTGACAGTTCCTTAGGCTTTCCTCGTCTTTCATGCCCTTGAATATATAGACGAGGAGTAGTCAGGTATTTTAAAGAATGTCTCTCAATTTGGATTTGCCTGATGTTCTCTCATGATTATTTCTGGAATGTTAATCTTGATCACTTAGTTAAGGTGGTATCTACCAGATTTCTCCCCTACAACAAAATTAAATTTGAAAACACGAGTTAACTTTTACAGTTTTATTTTTCATATTTATATCTAAAACATCTGGTCTTTATTTTGGTATAAGAAATAAGGTATGGATTTTGTTTTTTAATGGCTAGCCAGTTGTACCAAATACCCTTTATTGACTAACCTACCTGTTTCTCCTCATTTTAAATGCTGCCTTTTTCATGTAATAAATTTCCACATTTACTTGGTTTTGTTCTAAATTTTCTATTTTCTTTCATTTATATGTCTTGCCTATTTATGCATCTAGACAAAGTTTTAATTACTGTTCTTTATAATATGTTTTAATATGTGATGGCAAGTTTCTTGGCAAGTTTATTCTTATGTATTTTATCTTTGTTGTTACTGTTGCTTGCTATTTACTAACTGGTTGCTTAATTTATATCTGATTCCTGGTACAATCATTAGACTGGATTTATAACAAAATATGCTGTTTACTTATGGAATAATTATGGTTAAATTTTGCCTTCACTGTGCCCTCTACCTTCCATCCCCTTCAGATTAGAGCTGATGCCCTTTAACTGTGTAATCTTGGCCAAACTGTGTAAACTTCTGGCTGGTAACTTTGGGGGCTTATTACACTTCTTTCAGTTTAACCCCCTCTCCACCCAGAGTCTTTGCAGGGGCACCTCATAGATTGATTCATTTATTTTCTTCTTCTCTGCTACATGAAATACCCTAAAACCTGGTAAGCATACTATACTACTTCTAGGAGATGATAGATTGTTCTGTTTCACTTGTGAAGAAAGTAAAATGAAAATTGCAGTGGCTCCAGTTCCCACAGTGAACATTCCCTGGTGTCACATGCTGAAATGTGCTGCCTGCCCTGTCACTGCTCACTGATCCCCAGGCCCTCCCGGGAGGTCTACCACATTCCCGGCTAGCAGGGGGCCTAAACAGGCAGTCCCATTTGGACTGTAAAGAGTTTTGCTGGCATATGGAGGACTGCACTTCCATATATTTTAGGGGCTGGGAGAGTAAAGCTCCAGAGGGTAAGAGGGGCGGGGGGGGGGGGGTAGGGGGGCATCCCTTGCCTGATGACATCATATAAAACATTGAGCTAGTCAGACACTTATAGCTGGTGATTACAGTTCTCCCTACTGGGATTCAGAGAACTGTGAGCCACATCGCCTGCCCTCAAGCTGGCCCAATGACATAAACAATAAAGAATTAAGAACAATAAAAATTGAATAGTTTAAAGCAATGATATTGCAGGCTATATACAATTTATTAAATCTCAGATGCATTACATAGATGTTATTTGCTAAAGAGGTTCAGGAGCTGGAGGTGTTCCCTGTAGGCTAAAGTGGAACAGGGAAGACCTCGTAGAGAATACGAGTAAGGAACTTTAACTGGGGCTTGAAAGTCAAAGCAAGCAGAGTGGATGGTGAGAGGAACTTGACGTGGTCAGATCAGGACCACAGCATAAAAAAGGTCCAGAAAAGTGAAAAGATGTTTGAAACCCAGAGTCTAGCAATCTGCTTTCCCCATCCACCAAATCCCCTAACATCCCTTTAGCCCAGGAGTCAGCAAACTTTTTCTTAAAAGGTCCAGAGAATAAATATTTTAGGCTTTGTGGGTTATATGGTTTCTGTCACAGCTACTCAACTGCCAATGTAGTGCAAAAGCAGCCATGCATAAATGAATGGGGGCGGGGGGGGTTCATGGACTTTATTTATGGACACTGAAATTTGAATTTCATATAGCTTTTTACATGTTATGAAATATTCTTTTGGTTGTGTTTCAGCCATTTAAAAATGTAAAAATCATTCTTGAGCTTATTAGTGCTACAAAAATAGTAAATGAGCCAGAGTTAGCCTGCAGACTAATTTCCTGACCCCTGATTTAGCCTACTAACATGAAAAATTAGGAGCACATTATGCAAATAAAATATAAACATATAGAGTTTTATTTAAAAAATCATCCACTAGAAGATCCAAAATTGAAAGCTGCGGAAATGTATACGGCTTCAAGTAGTTGAGAAATATCGGATCATTATTTAAGCCTATAAATGAATATTTGAAAAAGCCAAGAGTCAAAATGGTACCTCAACCATACCATAGCTTTTTTTTTTTAAAAAGATGACTGGCAAGGGGATCTCAACCCTTGACTTGGTGTTGTCAGCACCACGCTCTCCCAAGTGAGCCACGGGCTGGCCCATAGCATTTTTTAATAACCTTAGAAAGGAAGACAATTTAGTGATTATATATTCTTGCAAATGAATAGCATTTTTTAAAAGATCCTCCTAAGAGTAACGTGTCTGAAAACAGGTACAGACTTATTGGAAAGCAGTCTTTAGATAGCTGTGGTAGTTGAGTCACATATTCATCAGTAAGTGCTGTATTTCTTTTGTAGGGATGGTCTATATGGCTGGGCTTGTTTTTGCTGTTGGTGGCTTTAATGGCTCATTGAGAGTCCGCACTGTAGATTCCTATGACCCTGTGAAGGACCAATGGACCAGCGTGGCTAACATGCGAGACCGGAGAAGCACTTTGGGAGCTGCTGTGTTAAATGGATTGTTATATGCTGTGGGAGGCTTTGATGGGAGTACAGGTAATTTCCTTTTCATCTTTTCCATATTGTTGTTAGAATAACATGGTAACCGCATTTTTAGAACAAATTGTGGCAAAATTAGGACACATTTGAGTGTTTTCACAGGTGTTATATTTAAAAGTAACTTTAAACCTTGCATCAAGAATTTCTTTAAATGATATGAGTGCTGAGTATATAAATTTTCTTTCTTATGTATTTGTATCAATCATCTTACAAGTTTAAAAAGCTTGTAAATGTTAGTAGTTTTGATAGGAGTTGTCTGGAAAAGAAGCTCTTTCAGTTTATCGTGTCATTGATATGTTTACATTCTGCCATTTTCTTCTTTTAATTTTAGCCCAATGTAACTACCTGAAGTATTATTCACTAATAATATATATGTAAAAGAACAATTAAAGTCTTTTTAGAGGAGGAAATGAAGGGTGTTGTGCTTCATTATAGGTTTATCATCTGTGGAAGCATATAACATAAAGTCTAATGAGTGGTTTCATGTGGCTCCAATGAACACACGGAGGAGCAGTGTCGGTGTAGGGGTTGTTGGAGGTAGGTGGCTGTTAACCGTTCTTTCAGGTGAGTGTGTCCAGGTGCATGTGCCTTCTTAATTCTGGAGAGTGGTTCTTCTAGTGACTTAAACACTAGTCTTATAAAAGGGCAAGCACATTATCATTTAAAAAAGAAAAGTAGTAATTACTGTAAAATTTTAATTATCCTTTTTTAAAACTTAGCTTGTCTAAATAAATTAACCTATATAGGGCCCTTTTTCTCGCTCTCTATCCTCATCTCTCTCTCTCTCTCTCACCCTCTCTCTCATCCTCCCCCCCTTTTTTTCTTTTTCTCTTTGTGTATGTGTGACCTTTCTAAGACTGTCAGCTGATCTAAATACAGTTGTTTGGGGAACAAATTAGGTGACATACATGCTAAATTGTGTCCCTGGAGAAGGGATCTTTAAGATTTAAGGGATAGATAGCCACAGTTATTTATTTATATTCTATTTTGTCCCCCCTCAGAGTTTAAGGAAGCCTACAAGTATTATTCTTTGGTATGTTTTTTTTTTTTTTTTTAATATTGGCTTGGGCAAATTTGTGAGTTCCCATCCCCTCCTCACTGTGGGTATAATTCTCTGCACTTCTTTTTAAAAAACAACTTTATTAAAATATATGTTGCATTTAATGGCACTGCTAATTGTCTTTTAAATTGTGGCAGGTAGTGTTATATTAAAAGGCTTCTCTGTTTCATTTATATATTGTTTGGCATTTCTTTTAGTTTATTGTTTTTAGTGCTTATTGGGGAACTTGTTTAATAATCAGTCTTTTCATACCTGTATCTTATAAATTTTGTACTTTAATACTGGATTACTTTTATTGTAGACATTATTTTCAAAAGGATTATATTAAAGCATTTTTTGTCTCTCTGTGTTTCACCTACATATTATTTTTTTTCTGTTTGACATGCCTCTCTTTTAGAATAATAGTTATTACTGATATTCTTGTCAGTTCTACTCATTTCCATTTCTTAAATTGTATGCTTTTTTTTTTTAAGAAAAAGATAACTGGTAAAGGGATCTTAACCCTTGACTTGGTGTTGTCAACACCGCACTCTCCCAAGTGAGCTAACTGGCCATCCCTCTATAGGGATCTGAACCACGGCCTTGGTGTTATCAGCACCACACTCTCCCAAGTGAGCCACAGGCCAGCCCTTAAATTGTATGCTTTAGTATTGACTTATTTTTACTATAAGTTATGACTTCAAAAGTTTTAGTTTCATGTCCTTTGAATAAACTCTAATATGTTATAAATTTCTTGTCCCTTTTGCTTTACTATAGTTTGGTTGTGTTTTATAGGTGTTGGCGTGTTAAACAACTTACTGTATGCTGTAGGAGGTCATGATGGCCCTTTAGTACGAAAAAGTGTTGAAGTATATGATCCCACCACTAATACATGGAGACAGGTTGCAGATATGAACATGTGCAGAAGAAATGCAGGTATCTGCTTAGTTTAAGTTATATTGAATTTTATTTAAATTTTTACTAGTATCACTGTATATTTCTTTTTTAAAAAGTTATTTATTTGTTATTTGACACTTACCGATTGTACATATTTATGGGGTACAAAGTTATATTTCCATACATGTATACAATGTGTAACAATCAAGTTAGAGGGTAATTAGCATATTAGTCATCACAAAAATTTATTATTTCTTTGTGGTGAGAGCATTTGGGATCCTCTCTTCTAGCCAGTTGAGAACATACAATAAATTATTGTTAATAACAGATGCCTAGCACTACTGTAGACCACTAGAACTTCTTTTTCCTGTCTAGTTGTGATTTTGTATCTGTCAACCAACCTCTCCCTATACCTGCTCCCTCCTCTCCTTCCCAGCCTCGAGTAACCACAATTCTATTCTCCACCTGTATAACCTAAATATTTCTTTTCAGCTCCCACATATGAGTGAGAGCATGCAGTATTTATATTTCTGTACCTGCCTTATTTCACTTAACATAATACCTTCCAGGCTCTTTCATGTTGTCACCAATAACAGGATTTCATTCTTTTTTATGGCTGAGTAGTATATCTTTGTGTATTTATACCACACTTTCCTTATCCATACATCTGTCGATGGACACTGAGGTTGATTCCATATTTTGGCTATTGTGAATAGTGCTGCAGTAAACATGGGGGTGCAGATATCTCTTATGTATACTGATTTCCTTTCCTTTGGATGAATACCCAGCAGTGGGATTGCTAGATCATAGGGTAGTTCTGTTTTTAGTTTTTCTGAGGAATCTCCACTGTTTTCCATAATGGTTGTACTAATTTACATTCCCAAGAGTGTATAAAGAGTTCCCTTTCTCCGAATCTTTGCCAGCATTTGTTATTTTTTGTCTTTTTGATAAAAGCCATTTTAACTGGAATGAAATGATATCTCAGTGTGGTTTTCATTTGTATTTCCCTGATAATTAGTGATGTGGAGCATTTTTTTGTATACCTGTTTAGCATTTTTATGTCTTCTTTTCAGAAATGTCTATTCAGGTCATTTGCTCATTTTTTAATCAGGGGTGTGTGTGTGTGTATGTGGCAACTCTGGGCGAGATTACTAGGGTTGTGGGCAGAACCCTTCACCTGAAAGAGAAATGCTGGTGCACTTTGCAGTTTCCCAGCTGGAATGGGCCACTTTAAGGAAGGTCACGGGATATAGGCAGAACTCTGAGATCCCAGGGGGGCACAATGGAGTGCTCTGCAGCTCTTCAGGTTGAGTGGGAGACAGGGGAGAACATCCATATAAATTTGAAATATCAAGCAACTTACAAGTCAGATTTCAAAAGTTTTCATTAATGTGGTAAATTATAACATCAGGTGGAGGAAAAAATGATGTAAATTTGAGTTAGATTATATACAGCCTTATAATAGCATGTCTGTAACAGGTTCTCAGTATATGTTCGATTGTGATGAAGTAAACCGATTACACTGGAAGCAGCAAACACTACAGGAAGGTGCATCCTTTTGGCAAACTAATTTGGCTCCCATCTGCCTAAAAGGAATCTGATGTGAATTGGTGGATTAGTAAAATTGATATCTTTTGAATGTATTAATATATTCAAATGGCTGTAGGGACAGATCTCCTTTTCTGCAGTGGGATGCTCTTTGATCTGTTAGTACCTTGTAGATGTAATTGAGAAAGCTCTTTAGGAAAATATAGCTCCCTTACTCATCCCTTCCATCATAGAGCCATTTGGGGGCCCACTTTATCTCTTCACAGTCATATGTCATCAGTCCATGGGCTAGAATAGAGACTTGCATACACATACAACAACTTTGGGGAGCTCATGTGGCAGCAGTATTGGGCTTTTGCTTTCAAGTATTTGAACTACTTTAAAATGGCATGAATTTGCTTCCTGCCAAAAGACTAGTAGCACAGTTGAGTTTGAGTAAAATAGAGAAGATCCATTTCATTTGACAGAAGAGAGTATTGATAGTGCACTTTTAAATGCTATGTAGAGATTTGGACTTGTTTTTCCATTACGTAAAAAATCTGCAAGCATCTGTTAATTACGTTAGGAAAAGCATCTGCAAAACTAGAGAGACCAGTGTGTGGGCAGCATCCTTTGGATTCTTTGATGCTCTCTAGGACCTGTTGGAGCCTTTAAAAGGTCTATTTTTTGATTCAGTGGTTTTCTTTCTAAAAATTTATATTAAGAAATAATTGTACAAGTATTTCCAAAAGTATGTAGGGGGATCCTTGTTCACTGCGGCATCATGGATCACAGAAAAAATCCTGAAAATAACTAAATATCCAACAGTAAAAGATGTTTTTAAAATTATGGTATTATCATACATGGAATCTTATGCAGCCATTAAAAATTATGTAGATCTGTATTTACTAACTTGGGCAAGTGTCCAAGGTATATTGATTGGTGGGCGTGATTGAATAGTAAAGTAGGGTGTGTAGTGTGAGCTAGTGGGGAGTTAAAGAAGGAAGTGTCTGAGTATATATGCATAGAGAAAAGTTAGCCAGAGTAGACTTCAAAATTTGAATGTTCATTATTTTAATAGTATAGGATTAGAGGGGATCTTTTCTTTATACTTTCCTAGGTTTTTTTTTTTTTTTTTACCAAAAAATGAGTAATTCTAATAAATAATATTATTCTCCCCTTTTTAAAAAAAATTTATTTATTTTTATTTATTTATTTTTTTTGTCGTTGTCTTTTTCCGTGTCTGGCAACGGATCGCAACCCTCAGTGTTGCCCCCGCACCGGACCGGGGACCGGCAATGGGATCGCAACCCTCGGCGTTGCTCCCGCGCCTCGCTCAGCCAGTGAGTGGGAACCGGTCTGTATGTGGGATCCGAACCCTCGGGCGGGAGCGCCGCCGCGCTTCCCAAGCGGCGCACTATCCAGTGCGCCACCGGGCCGGCCCTTATTCTCCCTTTTTAAAGGATATAAAATAGCTAGTAGTTAAAATTAAGACTATTTTTTTTTTTACCTTCTAATATGTTTTTTTTCTTAAGATTCCCTACGAAGCTGACTTCGAGAGAGTTACTGAACTTCTTTGACCTTTTTTTTTTTTTTATTAAAAAAAAAATTGAGGATCAAAATAGTTCCTAACCTATAAAGTAAGTTTGTTGTGAAGATTAAATTAAATAATGCACATATAAAGCAACTGTTGCATAAATGACTTACAGTAGGAGCTTAGAAGTGGTACAACACTCTCACATTTAAAATAAATTCTTTACATATTCACGATCTTCTCTTCTTGTCTTCTGTCAAGGAAATAAGTGTCTTTGGATCACGTCACCAAACATATACAGGGATATTCATATTCAGCCAAATTTTTTAAATAATTGTTTTCTCTCTGTGTAATTTTTTAAAGGAGTTTGTGCTGTTAATGGTCTGTTATATGTTGTTGGAGGGGATGATGGTTCCTGTAACTTGGCGTCCGTAGAATATTATAACCCAACAACTGATAAATGGACAGTCGTGTCATCATGTATGAGTACAGGGAGGAGTTATGCAGGTAATGATTGTCTCAGCTTCTGAAAGAAAAGATGACATCGTTATGATTTTTATGTTGCGGTTTTTCTGGTATAAGAAAGTCTTTTCTCAAAGTATATTTTATATCTTATTCTTAAAGTAATTAACATTGTATGTGTATATCCTGAAATAAAGCACCAGTATTCTTTGCTATTCTCCGGTGATTTGTATTCAGAATCCCAGGACTTTGCAGTGCAGAATCATATGATGACATTTAATATGGCTAAAATCTGTATGTAGTGGAGGGGAATATACTATGTGGCGAGGCTTTAATTCCTCAGATATCCAAGAAATATGATCCCTGTAACATCTCTCCATGGCCAGCCTCCATGAGATAAAATTATAGTAAGGCTATGGACTAAC